AACTTGGAAGATGGTTGGTCTTGATTTTGAACAGGGGCCTCTGGGGGGGAGCAAAACGGTTCCAAAGTTAGAAACTTTAGAGGTATTCTGGATCCAATTGTAGATGACTGGGGGGTTGATTTTGCAAGGATCGATATGTTTCCCATAGTAGGGTCCGACTTTTAAACAAATCCTCAGGTTGCAACTGCCAACACTTCGCCGCCGACGTGGCCTTGGCCCTGGGCGCACGACATCGCCCGGCGCCCGAGGACGAACGCCTGGCGAAGAGCGCCGCCAGCGGCGCCAACGCCGTGGGCGCCGCGGGGGTGTCGGTGGCGGCCTGCGCAGCGGCAGGCGCTGCGGGCACCTCAGTGCTGGGTCTCAGCGGCTTACCGCTGGGCAGCGCCATGGGCTCGGCCTCAGCGGTGCTGGGCACGGTGGCGGCCAGTGCCTCCGTGGTGGGCGTGGTGGGGACGCTGAGACCGGCGGGCGAAATGCTTGGGGAAATCTTTTTTTTTGATGAGTTTGTTAGATTTAAAAAGAAATAATTATCGTTTTTTGTTGTTGATAGTTGGTGCATTGGACTGTACTGGATTATTGGATATTATTATATTAATATTATTGGCGTGATTTATGTTTTATCCGATGTTTTTGGGGCGCTTTGCTACCGAAGATATTTATTCACGTATATATTGTATTTTGACATAACAATTTTTGGTGAACGGCTGGGCGTTGCAAACAGTGTAAGTTGTTTGTTGACTATTTTGTGTTTGTAACATTGTAAGTAACAGTTTATAGTCATGCAATGCTCGTGAACGGGTTATTGTTAGTTTGGTTCCATTTTCTTTAATGAAAACCAATGTCAGCCGTACATAGTGGTGAACAGTGATTTTTCCATGTGTTTTTTACGGATACCGTGGTTATTTCACATATAGCCATGGAAAATGGCCCATAGAAATAGATGGTTTACCTATGTTTACCTATTAAAAATGGTGATTTTCCATGGCTATGTTGAATAACCATAGGGTAATTGTTGCTTCCTTAGGGGATCCCTGCCGCGTTTCCCGAGGTGGGGGGCTTGACCTTGATGGGGGTGGCGCAAGCCTATGAGGCCGCCACGGGGCAGCCATTGGGCATTGCTGAAACATGGGGAACCATCTGTAGCCTGATGACCTAGTCACATTACCCTCTGGTAATTTAACATACTGTGGATGGAAGAAATCTTGCACCACCTGGGATGGTTAAAACCCTATAAATAATGGGACAAACCATCTATCAACTGGTGCAGGATTTCTTCCATCCACAGTAGCTATGGAAAGATCCACCATTTTTAATGGGTAAATCCACTATTTCTATGGCCATGTGAAAAATAACTTTTTGTATGTTTACCAGAGGGTAGTCACCAATATTTTAATGAACATGACATGCACGTGTTTTGCAAATACAATTTGTGGCTTCAAGCTCACTGTGAATGGTTAGTAAAGGGAACAATTAAAAAACATGATAAAACATGTTTACTTGTGGTTGGGGAGGAACAATCAGTTGCAATACCCTTTGGTTGTTTATTTAACGTGGCTATAGACAATCACTTTTTTGAATAGGTAAAATCACCATAATTCATCTACAAATAAACGATCATAAGCAATTAATGTTCCGTGTCTATGCGACAAATAGCCAGCTGGTAACACGGAATAAAACACAATAAACCCACCAAAATCCGATTACATCCCCATTGAACGACCATTTCTGTGAGTTAAATCTTCAACAACTTTCGCGGCTACCCCAGGCCATGCGGGACGCCTCGCGCGAGAACGGGCCAGAGCTTCAAAACTTGGACGGCAAGGAATCTGAGGATGAATCAACCACGGCCAGTGGCTCCGATTCATAGATATCCACATGGATGGTTTTGGGTTTTCTTAAAATGGGTGTGATCCCCAAGTCACCATAGGTTTCAATACTATAATAAAAAACTGATTGATTTTTGGACGATATGGGGTACCCCCCCATTTTAGGAGACCTCCATATGGATTCAGTAGCGTTTGTTCCCCACATTGACGTGTGGGGTTTTTGTTTTTAGTTCTGTATCCGCTCCTCCTTCCTTCCTTCCCGTCCTCCCTCCCTCCCTCCATCACTCACTCTCACTCACTCACTCACTCACACTCACTCACACACACACACCCACGCACTCACTCTCACTCACTCACTCACTCACTCACTCACTCACTCACACACACGCACTCACTCACTCTCACTCACTCACTCACTCACTCACTCACTCACACACACACACGCACTCACTCTCACTCACTCACTCACTCACTCACACACACTCACTCACTCACTCACTCACTCACTCACTCACGCACGCACGCACGCACGCACGCACGCACTCACTCACTCACTCACTCACTCACCCACTCACTCACACACACACTCACTCACTCTCACTCACTCACT